GGCCGACGATGACAGCCACACAACAGAGCACTAAGCTTGGAGGAGAGCCAAGTGAAAGGAAGCTAGCGCTGATGCGTATGCATCACAACGGTCATGTGTTGAACTGCACTTGAGGAGTGTGGCGTGATGAGATACCGCCCATTTACCACCGTTAGGAAAACATTCCACAATCCTGAATTGTGAAAACAGCCGGAAAAAGATAGACTTGGTCACGGTGACCGGCACAGCTATCAAGCATCCACCAATCGACCACCTGAATACAAATCGCTTCAGGTGATCTTCACCGTCCAATGCAAGAAGCAAGCGCTCGCTCCTCATGAGGACTTGGCAGAGCGGCACGCCACTGCCCATCCTCAGTCGCAGCTGACATACCGAGCGCGCGCGCCCCCGTGACGCCTCGGAGCGTCGGTCCGTACGCGGCACACACCGTCACGTGCATGCCGCGCCCGAAGAAGCAGCAGGGTCGCCGGCCGCGGTCAGCTGCCGCTGGCCTATTTAGCACACCCGGCGGCCGTCCACAACCCGCGCTGGGCTTACCCAAACCCGCGCTGGGTAAACCCAAACCCGCGCTGGGCTAACGCGAACCCCGGCATGCACGCGACGCAGCCTGGCCGGCCGCACAGAAGGCTAGGGCGCCGACGGCTGAAGGAAGCTGCTGTCCTCGGCGCATAGATGTGTGTTAGAGGAAAACGTGGAGAGAGGAGAGGCCTAACGTACATAACTCTTCGGACGATGTGTAACCAAGGTCATAAATGGGCGGATATATGTATACATTTTTTTTAATCGTCTCACCCTCCGGTTATGGATGGTCCGACCGTCGTCAGCGTCAGCGTGACGGTGTCACCGCTGGCGGCGGCTGACGGTTCGGCCGTGGCGGCGGAGCGGGCCGTATCGGGTCGGCCACTCGGTCAGGGGGCCACAAGTCAGCCGCCCGCGGCCGGCCGCTCACCATGGTAATGCAGCGGGCCGCGGCGCCGGTACTGTTAGCCGGCGTTCACGGCTCAGTGGGCGCCCGGCGTGCCGCCGACGGCCGCCAGATGGCTCGGGTCGGGCTTCTGCCAGCGCGCCCCGGGCCTCTGACGACCGGTCAGCCGCCCCCGCGACCGGCCCCGCGGCCGCGGCGGCAGGTCCGGTCCGAGAGAGGAGAGCAGAGCAGAGAGAGCAGAGAGGCGATGGGTCGGGTGATGGGGAGACTGGCACGGTCGAACCGGAAGGGGCACGACGCTCCAGTGGAGAAACTCGTTTGCTTCCGGGTCGATGTTTGAAGTGCGGGTGTTGAATAGTTATGCCTACTGTCGAAGCTCTTTCTCTAACTGATCCCAAAATCTGTCCGCTATTTGCTTGTTAGTGTGTATCACAGACTACAATATCGTTGCCTTATGCTGTTTTCGCGCCATGTACTCCGCAAGATCAATAACAAATTTAGAGATGATTTGGCTGGGCCCTACGGCCCACTGACGATGGGCCAAGCACTACCCGTCATCCCATGCGTCCAGTATGGCATGTTCCCGGACTGCCGAAAACTTTTTGCTTCGTTTCCATCCTGCACTTCCCCGCTCCAAGCCCTCACATCACAGTTCAAGCGTCCGGCCCTCTCCTGGCGCCCGTGTGCCGCCGGCCGTTGCTATCGTACGCGTCGTGACCGAATGATGTACGCGAGGAGACCGAAACGGGGGCATACTACGTGATCCGAGCGGGAGCATACGACCTCACCGCGGCGGGCGCATGCCACGTCACCGCAGCGGGGCATACCAGGTCACCACAGCGGGCATACCAGGTCACCACAGAGGGGCATGCCACGCCACCGCAGCGGGACCATACCACGTCACCACAGCGGGGCATGCCAAGTCACCGCAGCGGGGGTATACCACGTCACCACAGCGGGGCATACCAGGTCACCACAGCGGGCCATACCAAGTCACCGCAGCGGGGCATGCCACGCCACCGCAGCGGGGCATACCACGTCACCACAGCGCGGCATGCCACACCACCGCAGCGGGGCATGCCACGCCACCGCAGCGGGGCATGCCACGTCACCACAGCGGGAGTGTACCACGTGACCGCAGCGGGAGTGTTCCACGTGACCGAAGCGGGGCAGCTGCTGCTGAAGTGTTCGGCACCGTTCAGTTCTCGAGAATAAGTCTGGTTAGACATCAGTGTACAGTTAGACATCAGATTCCCAGGATGGAATGAATTGCAATGCCGATCTGCATTCACATTCCCGTTTAACGGAGAGCCGCAGCATGCTGAGTGTTTTAACAGTCAGTGGCGTCATATACTTAGTCTTTTATTCATATGCTCACGTTTCTGGCCTCCCGCAAAATTCTGATACTTCTACATCGATGTAGCTACACTGATTGCTTCTGATAATGCAGATTTACTTACACCAGCAATAGCAGTTGGCTCTCTAGCCCACGTGCCTTAGACCATACGCGCCTGTACGTTTTAAATAAGGCAGCACTCGTGTTGGGCTGCATTTCTCTGACACCGTTTGTGCCACTGAAGGACACTACGGAGAAACAACAATAGCATGTTCGGCCATAGATAGCGTCACATATGGTGTCTGTGAAACAGATATTGGCCCGTTTTCCAAACGTTTATACTAAACCCACTGCAAGTAACAATACATGGACTGTTTCTGCCAAGGGAAAGCCAGGGCAGGTACATCTGCATTGGTGTATGGTCGCAGTTTCCAGAACAGCTGGGCCGCTGGCACCGTTTTCCTCTTTGTTCAGTCCTTCACGAGCCTGGCGGCTAGCTTCTTCAACTTTGAATGCGGGAGGGCAAAAATGGCGCAAGACCGCAGATCTGTTGTGGCATGCCTTAATCATATCTTAGTCCTTCTTGTCACTTAGTCCTTCAACCGATGAGGCAAAAACGGCGCTGCGGTGTTGTCCGCGCTCATTACACTTGCTCGATATATCCATGGGTCTGCTTTAATCACACCACAGTGGGTCATGTTTAGATACAAGTGACCTACCAGCTCCGACTAGCTGAGATCTGCGCGATGAGACCCGGCCTCCCGGAGAGCCGAGTTACGAGCCGGTGGGAGTGGGCCGACTGGTTCGTGCACTCCTGACGACCTCCTCACAGCGATCACCACATCCCGTCCAGCGGCTGCTGACACCGACCTCGCGACACCCGACCGTCCTCCGCCGGAGAGCCTGAGTCCTGCCGCCGCGCTCAGGTCCAGTCCGGTCCCATCTGGTCCAGTCCGGTCTGATCCTGTCTGGTCCGGTCCGGACCTCTCCAGGGCCGGCGCCGGCCAGCCGTCAGTGACACGCTCCGCGTCCCTGTCGACCGCGTGGGAACGCTGACGGCCGGCCGGCCGGCCGCCACAATCTGGCAGACGCTACCCGGCCGGTGCCATATGGCGACCGGGCGGGACGCGGCGCGCGCGCCATTTGCGGCGCAGGCTGCGGCGTTTGTGGCGCAGACCGTGCGGGCATCCATCACGGCGGCGGCTGGGCGGCTGCCGCCGGTGTTGGCCGCGCCGGCGGCAGGTGTTGCAGTGGCGCGGACCCGGGCTGTCTCGGATATGGGTCACGCGCCGCCCGAGCCGGGCATAATTGGCGCTTTTCCGGCTGTGGGCGGCGGAGCACTCTGTGTACAAACAGGTCGGAGAAGAGAGCCGGCGGTGTGTATCCGGCTTCTTGTGAGAGCGGTCGTGCCGATTGCGCCGAGCAACGCTCGCTCCAGGTCGCCTTTGTTTCGGCTCGACGTAGGAGGCGGGATGCTGGCGGGCATGTTGAGTGGTAGCGGAGTGGGAACAGCTGCGGCAATTTTCTGACCGGTCCCAAGGCACCCAAAAACTGGCTGACTCTGTTTCTCCACAGCGCGTGCCTTGAGGTCACCGGTGCGGCATGCCATTTTGCTCGTTCCTTGCTTTGATTTGCGTGAATGTTGCTATGTCATGTATGTAGAAGCCCTTAAGTTACGAAGCGACGCCTGCTTCATGTTCCTTGATGACGCCAGACGCTCGGACGCCCAACGGCGTCACGCTGCCCGCATTCCAGACGCGACTGCAGAAGCTTCTCTCCCCACGTTCGATGTCACGTTTGCATCGGATTTGGCCCATGTTTGTCCGGCGGGTCACGATAACGTGCCATATCGCCGAGCTCCCGGAACCTCCTCGCGGCCAGTGCGACGAAGAAATGCCCGAACGTTGTGGGCACTTCCGTATCGCTGGCCGGCGGTATCAGAGACACGTCCTGCAAAACCTTGTGGACTCTGCTATCGCTGATAGCGCGGCCTCGGCAGCTATGCTGACGGCGTCAGCACTCGTAGCTTGCTGGCCATGCCGCAGTAAAAGCTCCCGCGGAAGTGGCCACTCCTCCTTCGGTCACGCCCCCCCCCCCCCCCCCGCTACTGTGGAGGTTGTCCGGCACGTGCCTGGTTATGATCCTCTGTGTCCCCTCCCTGAGCTATACGGCGATGGAGATGTGCGCGCCCCCACCTATCCTTGAAATCGTCCCCATTTGGACACTTATGAACCTTACACTGTTGACTGCTACCAGTGACGAACGTTCCCCCCAACTACTGCACCTACCGCACTCCCCCGTCCGCTTTGACATCGGTGATATCTATTAAACTCACAACATTCGCACACTCTGTCAACTGACTGCGTGTGCGTCGTTAGATGGTGACGTCGCAATGACGGTGACGTGAGGAATGAGGCGTTACAATGACGGTGACGTGAGGAATGAGGCGTTACAATGACGATGACGTGAGGAAGGAGGCGTTATAGTGACGGTGACGTGAGGAAGGAGGCGTTACAAGTGACGGTGACGTGAGGAATGAGGCGTTACAATGACGGTGACGTGAGGAATGAGGCGTTACAATGACAATTGCTCTTCGACAGCCGTCCCTCCCCGATAGCCTTAGCGGCATATGATGCCGCTGCCTTGCCTCCAACACAATAAATAACACCCCAAATGCTTGACTCCAAAGCATGCCGCCCGAAGCTGTGGATGTCATCGTCACCTGCACTGTTCCCACAGTCATCAACGTGGCGGCCGGCAAGGCGCCCATGCAGTCGTCCACGGCGCAGGGAGGCATCCCCCAGAAGGCGGTGGACGGCAGCACGAGTGGCTTCTTCAACCCCAAGACGTGCACGCTGACCGAGCAGGAGACGTCGCCGCTGTGGTACGTCAACCTGCTGGAGCCGTACATGGTGCAGCTGGTGCGACTGGACTTCGGACGCTCGTGCTGCGGTGAGTTGATCGCGGTTGCGGTGCTGGTGCTGTTGGGTCGGAGTGAGGTTGGATTGTCTGGGCTTTTAGGAGTTCTACTGCATGCTCACGTAGCGCCAACATTGCCACAAGCTGCGAGCAGAAGATATGTTTAGGTCATTCTAAGTGCCGTGGCACATACGTTTTTGGAGGCTCATGATTGGTGGGTAGTTGCGGAGTGTCGGAGAAAGGAAGAAAGACAAAATTCCGGGCGTGGATGCTTTGCTCCAATACGGTGTGTCGGGACGGCCAGGTTGTCGTGGCTAACGAAACACTGAGGTGGAGATCTGTCGTTTTGAAGGAGGTTTTGCCGTTCCGTTTCTCGCTGACATAGGTGATGGCCTGAGGGCGTGACAAAACACGAAGGAAGCCTTAATGATAGCCGGGAACGCACGCACGAGTGATGCCGAGCAATGCTCAAGCCAAGCTGCGTTGCATCACAGGAAGCAGCCGGTGGACGGCAGAGGCGGGCCGGCCAGCAGCCGACCCGAAAACTAGGCAGCCTCAGACGACCTTGTTCGGATTTTGTTTTGGAGGATTGAAGCCGTTCATCTTCACTCTCCACTTTTAATCAAGCTGTTGTCATTACTGAAGTTTATCGAGTTTCACGTTGCATGACTGGAGGTCTTAACGAGCAATCCGTGCGTTTCTCGAACTGCTTTTATCACTGAGGCGTGTCCAATTAGCTCTTTCTGGCAAAATGTCCGGCTTCGTTAGCTGAGCCTTAGGTTTGTTGTCAGCTTAGGTGAAACACAGAACTTTCTCATTGTCGGGTTGGACCTGCTGACACTGTTTCGTCTCAAAACAACGTCTGTCTCGCTCCTATAACGGCTCTCTATTCAACGTACTTTGCTGCCATTGCATGTCTTCCTTGTCTTCATTATTAATAAATCGTCGCCACACATTCATATGGCTCCCGCCATTCCAAACACATCAGGGCATTAAATCCTACTCCCACACACGTAGCAAGTGATCGGCATATGCGTGCATTATTTGTTTAGGGTCATATGCTGGGAGCATCGTGTAATCTTACAACAACCCTTAATGGTGACTAGGCCTAAAACTATATCTCCGATCTACGTCGAACCAAACGCGTCAGCAAGCGCATGGGCCGTCAACATCCGGACGCCGCTGGTCTGCGCCCTCTCCTGGTCGCCGCGGTGGCCTCCTCGCCACATTCCTCGCGAGTGGGTGGTGCTCGCCGGACGGCGGCCGGCGGGGCGGGTAGCACGACCCGACGCATCGGACCGGTTCTTCCCCTGCGCCGGACCGGTCTCCCGCCACACTGCCAGTCACGTGAAGACCCGTGCCGGCCTGGGGAGACTGTTCCTGACTCGGACCATCGCGCGCGCAGTAGCTGTGCTAGCCGCTTTTGCATTGTTTCCAGACGTGAGGTTCTGATTTGATATAGTCTGCTCGCGTACTATGCTTACAGTGTGCAAAAAATCAGCTACGTTCGACTTGGCATATGCAGCACCCCCATTTGAAGCAGCGCAGGGACTAAATGGCAGATGGGCCGTGCCATATTTTAGTGACGAAGCTCCAGAACGTTTCCGGGGGATTAAAACTCATTGTTTAGGAACACTTAGGCTTGGCCACTGTGTTCACTGTCAGCCGCTTCACACTTTCTGCGCGCGCATTCCTTACACGCCACAAGCCCGCCAACTCGGCAGAGCAATATCGAGGTCAACAGTGCAGTGCTGTGAAGGTCTCGGATACCGTGAAGAACCGACGGTTGGCTCCCGTGCCTGAGCGCGGGCTGACGCCGAGCGTAGCGGTCGGCGCCGATGACTGCAGAGAGGGCCAGCGGTTGGCTCCAACGCCTGCGGACGGGGCTGTCGTCAGGGGTCGGTGATCGGCGCCAGCGCGTGCCACCGGCGGAGTAACGGCTCCGGCCAGGTTCCGACTGAACGGCCCGTCAGCTCTCACGCACGACTCCGGTCACGGGGAGAGGCGCCGGGCGGTCGAACGCCGCAGGGTCGCCGTCTGGCGGGGACCAGTCCCGCCGGCCCGCCGATCCCATCGGTTCAGTCGGTCCCACCGACCACACTAACCCCCACCTATCCCGCCGATTCTGCCGACCCCACCGGTTTAGTCGGTCTCTCCAGTCCCACCTATCCCGCTGTTTCTGCCTATCCTACCGGTTCAGTCGGTCCCTCCGATCCCTCCGATCCCATCGATCACGCCGATTCCTCTGACCCCGCTGACCCAGCCAAAAACAGATTACAACCCCACGGGACGGACGCTGCACACCTGCACACTGTACTAACACGGATGCCGCAGCTTGTCGCGTCTGGGCCCGAGCGAGCCTAGGAATGGACAGAGACTGGCCGCAACCCGCCCTCAACAAGAAAACCCGGATGTCGCGAACGCCAGTGCCAATGCTCCCAGTAAGGCATCAGCGGGTGCGCTGTCTGTGTCTGATGCATACGTTTGACCCACTTTTGTCTCCCCGCCGCAGAGGACAACATTCCGGCCACCATTGTGGTGCGGGTCGGTAACAACAGACCGGACCTGAAGATCAACCCCATCTGCAACCGTTTCACTGGTAAGCCCAGCACAGGTTATGGCGGGCGCTCTAGTCCAGCTGATACTGGGCGGCTACGAGAGGCCGGTTCTCGGAGCACAATATCACGTCATGTCCGGCGGAAGTGAGCCACAATAACCCGCACAGCATCTAGCGACTTCGACTTCGATGCGGATGGCTACTTTCACTCACTTTGCATTTGCAGTAGTGACGCTTAAAACGTAGCGTGAAAAGTCCTTTGTGATGGTGCATAGATTATACACACGTTGTGTTGGGTGATGCCTTTTTCCACAACAGCCACTGCCTTTCATTTAATGCTGAACGTAACCCCGTCGACCGCGTCCGTCCGTCTTCGTCAGGCTTCATGGAAGAGGGCCGTCCCCTGTTCCTGCCATGCAACCCGCCCATGCCTGGGGCGTTCATCTCGGTCCACCTCGAGGGACCGCCCGGCCAGATGCTCTCCATCTGCGAGGCCTTCGTCTACACCGATCAGGTGGGCCCTGAGCTACCCGGCACCTTGTTGTGTCGTGTTCGGAACACTCCGCCAGTAGAACATAGAATTCCGTTGTTCCACTACATTCCATTTAGTATATCCGCCCTCCCTCCCACTATTTTATTTCCGGTATGTTTACACTTTCGCCGTACAGCACGAGCATGCGAGCTGCAATGGCGACAACACACGTAAAGGCAAAGCATACAAGATATTCAGTCACATTAACTCACCGCATCAGAAGAGCTTCAGTTGCGCCTTTATTTCTGCAAACCGAAATAGGTAGTCTATTTTTGCTCCTCCCCAAAAGTGCCAATCAAGCTAAGCCAATCGTCAATGTCCACTCGCCGTAGAGTCCCAACCTACCGAAGACAACGTACACGCACTTAAACACGATGGCCCCACGCATTGTTCATCCAACGCAACATCAAAGTAAAATTGGGTTACGCCCCTCCCCCCCCCCCCCCGACTCTCTCCCCTGGATCGTTGACCTACAGCGCCGCCGTCCTTGTCTGACCCGGGTTGGTGGTTGTGCGCGGCAGGCGCTGTCGATCGAGCGGTGCCTCCAGTTCATGTCTGACCCGGACTGGTGGTTGTGCGCGGCAGACGCTGCCGATCGAGCGGTGCCTCCAGTTCATGTCTGAACCGGGCGGTGGTTGTGCGCGGCAGGCGCTGCCGATCAAGCGGTGCCTCCAGTTCATGTCTGACCCGGGCTGGTGGCTGTGCGCGGCAGGCGCTGCCGATCGAGCGGTGCCTCCTGTTCATGTGTGACCCGGGCGGTGGTTGTGCGCGGTAGGCGCTGTCGATCGAGCGGTGCCTCCAGTTCATGTCTGACCCGGACTGGTGGTTGTGCGCGGCAGGCGCTGCCGATCGAGCGGTGTCTCCAGTCCATGTCTGACCCGGACTGGTGGTTGTGCGCGGCAAGCACTGCCGATCGAGCGGTGTCTCTAGTTCATGTCTGACCCGGGCTGGTGGTTGTGCGCGGCAAGCACTGCCGATCGAGTGGTGTCTCCAGTTCATGTCTGACCCGGGCTGGTGGTTGTGCGCGGCAGGCGCTGCCGATCGAGCGGTGCCCCCAGTTCCGGGACCAGCCGCCAGGCAGCACCGCCACCTACAACGGCAAGTGCTACACCTTCTACAACCAGCAGCCGCAGAGCTTCGCCGAGGCGCAGGAGTTTTGTCAGGGTCGCGGCGGCACGCTGATCGACGAGACGAACCCGGCGCTGCAGGGCTTTCTCAGCTGGGAGCTCTGGAGGAGACACAGGTGAGGCGGAGCTGGGAGACGCTCATGGAGTTCACTCATTATTATCTATGGAAGATTTTGAGGAGATGTGCGCAGGGATCTGTGAAGAGGGCAAACGTGAAGAAGACGAGATAGATCTAGAAACTTTGTGAAAGGTTCAGATGATGAAAAACTGGAAGACACACTGGTGTGACAGAGATAAGGGAGAAATAGATGAAGCAGAGCTGCATGAAAATGATCTGGCAGAGCTCGAGGGTCTGAGAGGTCTCCAGAAAGTACGGACGTAGCAACTCTGAAAGAGGGGATGAGGCAGAGCTGGAGGGAGCTCTTCCGTATCCGGACACTTTATGCGAGCGTTGAGTGTCGTACATGTTGTTGTATTGTCCATGTTTGAATGACAGAGTAAGCAGTCTCTGTGTGTGTGCAACATGTGCCGTGCCCTTTGGTTTTCGAGCACATTGTGATTACTTCATCGCGCGTCTCCATTGATTGCCTACAATGCGTCAACGAGCTGAAAAGTCCAGCTCACATGTAGCCGTCTCCGTCAGCACGCGGCCAAGACTGCTGGCCTGATCTGACCCGCGACCTGACGCACTTGATCTCGCCGCCAGGGAGGACCCGAACGGCCAGTACTGGATGGGAGCCGTGCGCGACCCGCAGAACCCCGGCAACTGGAAGTGGATCAACGGTCAGGACCTGGGCGTCAGCTTTTGGAGCCTGCCCGGCGGCCAGGAAAACTGCGCTCGCTTCGACGGCACCAAGGACTGGCTCTGGTCTGACACCAACTGCAACCTCCGACTGAACTTCATCTGCCAGCACCGTGAGCAGCCGGAGTGTGTTAACCTTGAATGTCTGGCCGACCGTTGCAGCGGTGGCGGCGTTAAACAGCGCCATCGCGATGCATCTGGAGAACTGTGGTAGGAGATCGGCCGTGCAGAAGCCGTGGCGATGGATTCGGGTAGGCCATCATCGATTATTGATTTTATGTTCTTGCAATATACTACGATTTTACCATTGATTACCAATGCTCATCAATGATCATGTACCATCCAGATTGCCACAAAAAGTCATACGATCTGCGTGCACAACGTACAGCAAATTAGACATTTGTCCACCCGTATCTGACGGGTCTCATGGCCACCCACACAGTGCCGCACGAAGGCCGACCCTGTCATGACCTCCATCGATCAGTGCGTGTAGCATCGATCAGTGCGATCAGTGCGTGTGCGTGCGATCAGTGCGTGGCAGACGCCTCCGGCTTCACGGCGGGCCAGCCCAGTCAGTGTCAGTTTTGTAGTTCCTTACATCGACAGCATAGGCCGCGCTGAAAGCTTCATCTGGTCTGAAGGGCTTCTAGCCCAACAGTTCCACCTCTGATCGCGCATGCGCTGACCGTGACCGCCGACGTCACGCGTGACCAGCTGACCGGGCCGCAGAGCCGCTGACCTGCGGTAAGCCGGAGCAGCCGCCCAACTCGACCCTCATCGGCGCCCGACTTTAACGTGGGCAGCCGAATCGCCTACCGCTGCGAGGAGGGGCCACCTGCTCTCGGGCCCGAGGAGCGCGAAGTGCCTGTCCACCGGCTTCTACAGCGCATACCCGCCCACCTGTAAAGTGAGCAGTCATGGGTCGGTCGGGTCTGCCAGCAATGCGTGTCGGTTTGTGCCGTATTTGGCGTTGTCTCGGAAGAAACGAGGCTCAGCTTAACAACGCAGCTCTGTGGACGGCCATAGGAACGTGCCAATAAGTCGGAGGGCTGAATTAAGATTTGAAATCGATTCTTCCCATGTACCATGACGTAAATGGTGGCAAACGTTGACAGGAAGTGGGAGAGCCGTGTCCGTTCCGTACTTGCTACGCCAAACTCCCCGGAGTGCAAAGCAGTTATGATGCATCGAAGCGTAAATCACCCTGTATGTGGTATGTGATGTTGATTCAGCTTCTGAGAAAAAAAACGCTTGTTGCACTATACGCTCTATATGCATTTAGATACTGAGCATAACTAGTCAAAAAGTGCAAACAAGTACAGACCAAAGGACTGACAATTACGAGGAAAACTTGCGCCGTGGGTGTGGGGAACGTACCATCACCTGATGACCTGAGCTGCTCCGACCTGCCGGCTCCCTCGAGCGCGAGCTTGCTCACCGACCACTCTCTCGACGTTCCCCAGACCTGCAATGCGGCATGCCGGCAGCATCAAGCACGGCCGTTACAAGCCTGGTGAACGACACGCGGGGCTACATGTCCATGGTGGTGTACGAGTGCGATGAGGACTTCGTTATGGTCGGCCGCAACGAACTCATCTTGCGACGTCGACGAACGCTGGGGTGGCCCTCCCCCGCGCTGCGAACGTGAGTTGTCCTACCCGTGCTGCGAGCGTGAGTTGTCCTCCCCCGCGCTGCGAGCGTGAGTTATCCTACCCCCTCTGCGAGCGTGAGTTGTCCTACCCCGCGCTGCGAACGTGAGTAGTCCTCCCCAGGGCCGCAAACGTGAGTTGTCCTTCCCCGCGCTGCGCGCGTGAGTTGTCCTCTCCCACGCTGCGAACGTGAGTTGTCCTCCCCCACGCTGCGGGCGTGAGCTGTCCTGCCCGCGCTGTGAACGTGAGTTGTCCTCTCCCACGCTGCGAACGTGAGTTGTCCTCCCCCGCGCTGCGAGCGTGAGCTGTCCTCCCCGCGCTGTGAACGTGAGTTGTCCTCCCTGCGCTGCGAGCGTGAGTTGTCCTCCCCCGCGCTGCGAACGGGAGTTGTTCTTTCCCACCGCGAACGTGAGTTGTCCTCTCCCACCGCGAATGCATGTGGGTGGTCCTCTCCTCCTCTGCAAACACAAATGGTCCTCTCCATCTGTGAAGGTGTGTGTGTGCTCCTTTCCCGCGCTGCAAACGTAACTGGTCCTCTCCTTCTGCGAACGCACGTGCTGCTCCACCTCCTCTGGAACATAGATGGTCATCTTCCGCCGTGAGTGCGCGTGGTCTTCTCGCTCTGCGCGAACTCGGGCAGTCCTCCTCCATCGCGGGCTGTGGGTCATCTCTGAACTGCAACGTGGTCTCTCTCGCTCTGCGCGAACTCGAGGCGTCCTCCTCCGCCGCGCGGCTGTGGGTCATCTCTGAACTGCAAAACGTAGGCGGGTTCTCGCACTCGCGTCCTAGATGGTTCTCCGAGCCGCAGACGAAAGTAGCGGCTGTCGACACGCTGCTGGCGATGGTCTGGCTTCCGATCCTATTCCTTGTTGCGTGCTGCTGTGCTCCGTGAAAGTCTACGCCACCGTTGCACGAACACATCAGGGTGTTTCAGCCTTTTCCCGAACGCCGAATGCTCCCATGGCGGCTGTCTAACAAAAGGATGTGGCAGTGTGCACATAGCAAGCAATATCAGGTCAACGGGGAAGTAGGTCGATCACGCGTTCAGTGGCGCGCACACCCGGCTGTGGCAATGCAGCAGAGGCTCGCTGCGCATCAGTGCTGCGGGAGTGCCAATTCTAAAACCGCGGCACATGACGCATTCTCTCCCAACAGCCTTATGAATGGGTAGGCGAAGCAAATGTCTCGCGCCGACTATGAGAGGTCCATATCTGAGTGTCGTTCTTCGTCCACAGCCGTCTTCTGCAAGGAGCCGCCTGCGATTCTGAACGGCGGCTTCCGCGTCTCCACCAACTCGACCATCGTCGGCACCCTCGTGGAGTATTACTGCTTAGATGACCGGTTCACCCTGACCGGGCCTCGCACGCTCCGCTGCATGCGCGACGGGACTACAATCAGGAGCCTCCAGTGTGCCGAGGTACGACTACTACGGCCATCTGGCGGAACGTTGGGCCACTAATAGTTGTATGATACTGCGCAGTGCCTTTCAGCGTGGGAAATCCTTAACAAAATATCCATTGATTTGCAAGAACTGTGCAACATTTACGTCACGAGCATTAGCGTAGCTAAGAAAGAGCAGAGAGAGTGATTGACCTTCATGAAAAGAGGTAGAATAAAATGTTACATACTTGATCTACCAAAGATCGTAAATTATCGGGGGGCTCCGTTATTGTTACGGAATGGCTTACCGTGAAATGGCGTATCGCATGGGTGTGCTGTTCCACTTTACATTTAGGCCCAGTCACCTGAAGTTGTGTGGGGAATTCGGCGCCGTTTACCACCATTCTTGATATGGGAGACCTTGTGAGCATTGACAACAAGGCATTATTTTTGCTAAAATATGTTTTAAATGGCCGCACAACAAAGATTACTAAGCACTATTCGGTGTTTTCTTTTTGATTACGATGTTAGAATGGTAACTTCGTACCTCTGTTCATCAAAGGCATGGCTACGCTACTGGTCCTGACGACCGCTACGCTGGTTTTCTTGGGCACTACGACACTAGCCTAATAA